CAAAACGCGGTTGTCCACATCCTAGTCACTTTGAGTTCAGCCCCCCTCCCCCTTCGAATGACAGATCACCGAAACCACTTGAGCCATATAGAGCCTGTCAGCTGAACTCAACCAGAACTCAGTTCAACTCGAGCCGAAACCGTAACACAAACCCAAAGAAACTATAACAATAAAGACCGGAAATTAAAGTGTGAAGGCGGCAGGCAGGAAGTTGCCTTGATTGCAAGTTTAGAAGCGAGGGGGTGAATAAGTTTATGTACCTCCAACTGGTATCTCGCATCTGACAAATAGAAAAGTTTACAAATGCATTTCAACTGCCGACTCAGAAACAGAGGGCTTCGCTCGAACTGAACTGAAGTAACGAGTAGTTTGAGTTGGTCGCCGTCCCTGATTGAATGTTAAACATTTAATTTAAACTTGTCCACAGGCAAGCGCCCAACCCCAGAGTCCTATGCAACCCAAGCAACCCAGCAACCCAGCAACCCACCGAGCAAAACCAGAGTCGATGTGAGATTCGGATTTGAGCCGTAATTTATGCACGCACATCAATTCAAATGCATCTAATTTGGTAAACAGACCGAGGCGATGGCGGGGCTGATTCGAAGGAGACCGATTTGCACTGCAAGAAATACTTTATCACTCTCGAAATGAGTTATATATATTCCCAACTATTTCTGTTCCCAAAATCAACACAAATGGCTTTGCATTTCAAAGCTATTATTGTACAATAAGAATCTGTGCATTTAAAGAATCTGCAAAATATATTTCCACTCGTCTTGCACTCAATTATAATTTTAGTTCATTTTAGTTTTAGTTAATTTTCTCAGTGCGCCGACAAAGTTTCAGTCACACCTGCCTGCCACTCGACAGACAATCGGCTTAAAATAGTTTTCATTTGTTTTCGGCGGCGAGTGCAACATGTGGCATTGGCAACGCCACTAAGTAGCCCCAGTCTGCATCATCAGCATCTGTTTAGGGAGTCGTATCAGCCGCTCCTCCTCCTCCAGAGCCCCTGGCTCTCCGAGTCCCGATCCCCACATCCATTTCAGTAGTTCGTCTCGCCTCGCTTGGCTGCCGTACATGCAGCTCATTTAGTTGACATTTATTAACGTCACATAGCGCGCAATGTTTGACAATTAATTAGGCACTCTCAGATGCCGAAAGACGGGTCCTAAGCTGCAGCTTCGAATGCATGTACAAATATGCAGATACAGATACAGATACGACTGCCTAAATAGATGCGGATACAAATGCCGGGGCATATGGGCAACTTGAACTTGAATTTCCATTTTGTGTCCCAAATTAGATCGGATTTAATTTGTAAGTGCTATTTTTCCACTGCAGCTATGGTCGGGAATAATCGATATGAGATAAAAAGATGGAATCCGTAAAAACCCGATGGTAAATATAATACTTTGTTCAATTATCTAATGTTTCGTATATATCAAAATAATTGACTGATAATCTGGCCAAGCAAACCAAGACGTGATATAGACCTTAATTTCATTTGATCCGAAACGCAAGCACACTGCAAAATGCTCGTCATGGAAATCCTCCTAAGGGCAAATAATTTTAATCTGCTAATTCAACAATCATCCAATTTTAAACCCCCTTAAGAGACGCCACTTGAGTTCCTCCCTTTTTGGTCCTGTTCCCGCTCGCAAGGAATGCAAACGAACTGCCCCGAATCACAGCAATTTTCAAAGTAAACAGACAGAAATTTTTTCCTCAGAGCTATCCAGGCAGAGTGAGAAAAAGCGAACTTTTATTTATAAAACACTCGAAACGAGAAAAAATGTCCAAACTGTTTTTCGGGCATATTGACGCAAGGATTTCCCAGGCCGGCAAAGATGGGGGAAAATAAAAAACTATGGAAGGCAATGCAATGTGAAGAGATCAAACAGTCGGCTGAAAGTCCTACGCTCGGGCCAAAGTTTGTTTTGCTTTTTCCTTTTGCCAAATGTCACATGAAAAATGCGTTTGCTGTTTGCCAAAAATGCCGGCACTTTGCATGGCTCACCCTCACCCACGGAAACTCAGTCCGAAAAGCACTACCCCCAGGACATTCTATTCTTCAGATCCTCAGCCGAGCCAGAAGGATGGTGGTGTTGGTCTTCTTGCACGAAATTTCCATTTAATGTGTTTGCCCAAAGTATTAAAAGGCAAACGACGATTGAGTATCGGAAAGTAGTAAAGCAAAGTTGGGAGCGAAGCTCTGGGGTGTCCATGACATGGCACTGGAGTTGCACTCCTGGCAGAGACAGCGAGAAAATTCGTATTAATCTTAATATTAAATGTAACTAAAAAATCACGAGAATTGCAAGAATTTGTACAATAGATATGGAAATAGCTATACCTCGAACCAGTTTGGAATGGTTGCTCAAGTTACGTGGTATTTCTCCCAGTGCAGAGGCAAACTCCCCGACTGACTGCTGAGTGATTGCCATGATAAGTGGCCCATTATGATGCCAGTTTGCACAGCGAGATTGCTCTGCGCTCCATTGGAGTTGGCCATAGTCATAGCATCGACCAGCGACCATCGACCATCGGCCATCGGCATCACCCTCCTTCGACTCGGCTTTAATGCATATCAGAGTGGGCAAACTTTTGGCCAAAAAGTGCGTCATTGTACGTTCGCTTTGCGTTGTCTTTCGGCCAGATCCCGCTCCTCCGGTCCGAGTCCTCCATCAACCGACTCCTGGCCAGTGTTCCTTGTGCAACGTCTGTTGACAAAAGACATTTAATTTTCCCGCCTGGCGTCGTCGCTCGTCGCTCGTCTTTAGCCTCCTGTGCGTGGAGGTTGGGTATCTGTATCTGTATCTGGACTGGGGCTATGCAATAAAGTTGGTCGTCGTCGTGGTTTCTTTTCAGCTCTTTTCGAATGGCCCTCGACGCGTCTTTCCTTTGCTCCATTTTTGTCTCCGCCGGCTAGCGAAAACTTTGATAAGTGAAATTTATTGTGGGTGCTTTGTGTGTCCACTATGATGGTTACACAGAAAACATTCAAGGGATGAGTTGAAAACTATTTTCGGATTGCTATTTTTCTTGGAAAAACAATAGGAGAATAAGAAACAAGAAAATGTGACATTCAATTTATGAAAAGATACATTTTAATCTTGACTTGACAGATAATTAGTATATTATTTTGCAAATAGTGATGACCAGTTAATGGTAGGAAGTGGTTTTGTATCTTGGTGTGACTCTGACCTTTTCCTTTTTTTTCAGTGTACCCCCGCTGGAGACAGAAGAATGTCCAACTGATGGCGCTCTTAATGTTTTACGGCATTCAGTTGATGTCTATTATTTGCAACATAAATCAGCAGGGCAATAACTGCAGGAGGATCCTCCAGCGATCTGTTTAGCGATCCTATGCAATTCGCACTACCAGCATTCCTCAACCCATCCTGCATATCAACATCCTGCATAGCAATTTAAATAGCCTCTGGCGGCCATCAACCCCCGATGCAAACTCATTAATTTACGTAAAATCCACTTAACTTCTTTCCCGTACGCAATAAATTCCACAACTTTGCGCCTCATCAACCGAAATGAATGCCGAAATTTAGCACGCGACAAAGTCAGACAATAGAATAGATAGAATCTACATGAAGTAGACGCCACGTCGCCGCTGAATTTCGGAACATGTGGTGTTATGATGAGGATTGGGACCTTTAAACCACTGAGCCACCGAACCACCACCCTCTACCACCCCATAACACTTGGCAGAGCCACCCCAAATCCTCGGACTTCGGTAGTCCGGAAAAGGGTGCATTGATATGCGTAAGCGAAGCGATTTTTCCAGCCTGCCCTGTGGGGGAATTCCCCCGGAAGATCGAAGGACCGGAAGAATTACGTGCCGGCAGAGCGGAGAACCCATGCCAATGCATTGCCATCATTTCAGGCAATTGTCAAACAAAACGCCGCCTGGGTGCTGGGTGGTGGGTGGATAAATTAGATTTTTACTTGCGCACAATTGCATAAAGCCCCAGGCCCAAAAGCCCGACAATGTAATCCTCAGAGGACCTGGTCGTAAATATTCATTGCATACGGCCGGGCGCTTGAGCTTAAAGTTCTATCACTCACCTCCAGCCCGAGCCCCTTGTTCCCCTTCCCATTGTTCTCTGGTTTTTTTCAAGGTCTTTGCCAAATTTTGGGGCGGCAGCAATTTCATTTTCAAACCACCCACCCAACGTCCTTGGCGTGCGCTCCCCCCAGAAATCTTGGGGGTTGGACTTATCCGGCAAGGGTGTCGATCTATAAATTGTACCTTTTGTTGCAGTTTTTGCCTGAATATCTTGAAGATTCGGGGGAGACGGCATCTCCGGGGCTGCAACCCTCGACGTGCGACGTCTTTAATAAATGTTGGATGTTTCGTTGCGAGATTAAGTGGATTCCGTTTATGGCATGAGTAATGATGGATGCATAATGCCCACGTATGTGGCAGGTGTGGGTGTGGAAACTCTGTAGTGGCTGCGGTTTGCTGCGATAAATGGGTGGAGACAATACCGGGTTTTGGGAACTTATATCTGAAGTAAATGGATACTTTAGTTGGAAAATTATGCTAGCTTGTCGCTAAATCGAAATTATTATTAATATTTCCCTCTTTAAGTGGAAGCAAATCATAAATGCAAATAGTATTGCTTGAAATTCATATTATTGTAAATCCAAATAAATTATATGTATAAAGTTTTTTTTTATCAATGAGTATTGAAGGATTATTACAGAGCTCAACATGGTTTTATGAAATACAGAAAATTATTTGGATCACCATAATCTTATCCTTAGAAGTATTAGGTGGATTTGTGTAAAAGTCTTATGATTTACTAAGATTTTTAATACTGGATACTTTGCAATGCGATCTTTCCAGTTTAAGAAACGAAAACTGAGTTCTCGTAAAAGTGTTCCACTCTCAACTAATATGTTACGCTTCAAAATAAGCATGCATTACTTAAGAAGATGAAAACAATTTCGCACATTAAATAATCAGTTGCCTCATAGACATGGAAGTTTCAGCGACTGTTTTAAATAACTTGTTTAAATACGTTCTTTTACACGTGTGGATCGCGATTGTGCTCCTGCTCCTGCACAGAGATCTGAGCAGTTGGGATGGATTGATGGGACTGCTCTCCCGTCCAGGATTGGGTGAAAATGGATCTGCCGCCTATTTAAGTGTTCCATCCTCGGAAATCGATGCGTATACGCAGGGTTGGCGCTATTACTCATATAACGCTTGGCTGGCTGAAAGAATTCCACTACGGCGTTCCTTGCCAGACTTACGAGATCCCCGCTGTGTGAAGCTGGAATACGATGAGGACTCTGATGAGATGAAGCCGGCCAGTATTATATTGATATTCCGAAACGAACAGCTCGCAGTTTTGTTAAGAACATTACACAGTTTGATCGAGAGGACGCCAAGACACCTCTATATCGAGCTTATTCTGGTGAACGATCACAGCGATAGGGACTTTTGGACAGAGAAAGTATCGCTCTTCTGCTTCGACAACTATGTGCACAGGTACATTCATCCAAAAGCTCGCATTCTTCACCTGCCTGAACAGGTGGGCCTAATCAAGGCTCGCGTTTTGGCCTCCCACGAAGCCACGGCCGAGAACTTGGTGTTCGTGGATGCACAAGTGGAGTTCACAAATGGCTGGTTACCTCCACTACTTGATGCCATTGTGCAGCAAAGTCTTACCCTGGCCACTCCCATTTTGGACAGCCTGAACGAGCAGACTTTGGCCTACCAGCGATCTAGGGAAAGGCGCGGGATCTACGATTGGAGCTTAACGCGTAGGGAAGTTCCTTTATCTAGAGAAAGGAGGACCTTCCTGCCAAGGCCCTACGAAGTGGCTGCCGTAAGGACTTCCGTCTTTGCCATTCGAGCGCTTTGGTTTCAGGACATCTCGAGCTTCGATAGAGAGCTCCGGGGGTTTGGAGCTGCTGAGCTGGAGCTGAGCCTCAAAGTGTGGTGTACTGGTGGTCGAATTGTGCAAGTTCCCTGCTCCCGAGTTGGCCACTTGCAGCCCAAGGATCAGGACTACCTGAAGCGATATGGGGATCTGTATAAAATGGGCGACCAAGTATCAAGGGTATGTACAAAGGCAACAAAAATGAAATCAATGTTGAATTGTTATTTTTTTTCATTTTCCCAGAACCTCAAACGCATCATAGAAGTGTGGGCAGGGGATCTAAAGTCGGTCATTTACAAATACCAGCCTCATCTCCTTAATAATATATCAGAGGGCGATCTCAGTGAACCGCGAAAACTACATCAGCAATACGCATGCCAGTCCTTTAAAGAGTATATAAATGATATTACGCCAGGTCTCAACCACGTTACGCCCCTAAATCGAACGTATTATGCCTCAGGACATGCAAAATCGCTTGAATTCCCCAAAAAGTGTTTGACAATTAATGCGAAAAGTCAGCTTTTGTTTCTAGAACGCTGCAGTGCAAATAATACTCTCCAACACTGGACACTAACCTATCTTAAGGATCTACGTGTAGCTGGAAGTATCTGCGCAGAAGTGCAGCCCAATTTAAGGTTGGGATACGGGTTTTGCCACAGTTTAGGAGGTCGGCAAAGATGGCAATACGATTCGGTACACAATCACCTAGTGAGCAATGCAAAGTGTTTGGAATTCGCAGATGAACTCAATATTTTCCTGAATGCTTGCAATGCAACGAATCGAAAGCAAAGATGGATTCTCGATAACATTAATCTGAGTGTAATGCAATCAGTACACACATTCGGATAGATAGATACAGTACGAATCCTATCTGATGATAGCGGCAGTGAGGTATTTGAATTTTAGGATCTAAAAAGAAGTTTTTTTAATTGTTCTATAGCTCTTGCACATCAGTTGTAGCTTTAAGGGAATAAACATAATTTAATAACTAGAATTGCTAAAATATAAATTTAAGAAATGGTTTAAAGCTAATAAGACCAAGGCTTAGTGGTTTGCATTTAGGCAAACATCCCTGTTGTGCTCCATCAAGGAGTCCTGTACTCCAGTGAACATCCATCTTTGTGCCGTCACATCCGAATCGCAAGCACTTACAATGAGGCGGACTTTGCTGACATCAATTTGTAGGCATTTGTTTCCGTTGCTGACAAATGAGCTGTGCTGGTAATTGTAGTGCCACGGATTTTTCGGCACTTTTTTAGAGCATTTCGTAGTCCGCACATTGTTTTTGTAGTCCACATCCAGGCACATGTTACCATGTTTCAGTTGGCAACGAGACGTCAGTGTCCAGTCCTCGAAATTAGTTGAGTTGCATTGCCTTATGACAGGAAATCCTGCCTTGATGGATAAGCAGAAATGCGGCGCCACAAATGGCATTATTTTACCTACCCCATAGCTGGAAAGTGCAGCATGAAGATAATGGTTCCTGATCTGCGGCGCCACTTGGCTTCTATACCATCCGAAGGACTTGCAATTCAGGCGACGTCGTAAATCTCGCGGCTTGTCCAGCGATTCTGAGGTAAGGTTTCTCAGCCTGGGATTGTATCGATAAAAGTGCAGCTTATACTCGTCGAACCAGACATCTACAACGCGTTTGAAGTTCTGCAGAGTAATTAAAAAGAGAGATAAGAGATAAGAATTAAACGGAACTTAAGAAAGATGTTATACTAACTAACCTTTTGGACTTGTAAGCTGGGATTTCTGTTTGGCGCCATCTGGGCCTCAAGCTCATCGCGCTTATAGATAACTCCCACTCGTGAACAGGGAACAGTGAGGATGAGACCACCACACTGCCACGCTTTGAGGCTGAGTTCCAGGGCATCGCCCCCGTAATCCTGGAGTGCTTCATCCCAGCCCCCAAGTTTCCAGAACCAACTGCGATCAATGGCGAAAACACGACCCTCCAGTTGGGAGGACGGGTATGGCTTGGGAAGGTTGTTCCACGAGTGCTGATCCAGGGGCAGGAAAATGTGATCCAACTGCCAGTCAAATGCCATTTGCTCAGGTTCCAGCAGCTTCTGGTAGGCAAACGACTCTGTAGATATGGCATCTACAATGGGCTCGGTGACGGTCTGGTTGTTTGACAGCATGGGCTCAAGTAGAGGAGGAAGCCAACCCTTTGTGACCTCCATGTGGCCATTGAGGAATACGAGAACATCTCCAGTGGCTATCCTAGCTCCAGTCAAACGACCTTGAATAATGCCCTTCAAGGTTTCCATTTCCAGCTGAATAACTATGGGTAGTTTTTGATGAATGTGCTGGATAAGATCTATATCGCCATGCCCATCATGAACCAGTACGATTTCCTTGAGTAAAGCGGGTGGTGTTTGCGCAATCACACTATAGATGGCTCTCAGCAGAGTGTGAGGATGCTCCTGTTGGCTGGCAATAACTATGCTCACAGTCAGCCGTTTTTCTGAACTATAGTTGATCTTGAGGCACCTTTAAATAGGGATTTAGTATATGAAAATAAATTGGTTTACCACTGTACTTACTGAGGATCCCTGTAGTCTTCTAGAGCTCGTTTCAGCGGAATTCTTTCAGAGAGCCAGGCATTGTAGTGATATTCCTCGTTCTGTATGGCAGCATCTACCAAATCCTTTTTTGTCATTTGCAAATGTGCTTCTTTGCCATGCTCGCCTAGATTCTTAATTGTAAAGTATTCAAAGTCAACTATGGCATTTGATAAGTCATCTGTATACAAGAGCCAGATAAATAGAGATATTATGCAATATGCTAAAATGAAGATCGCACAGCTGCACGGAGTACCGAATAGTAATGGTTTCATTGTGGTTCAAATTGGACTGAAAAAGTTATTTAAAAACTATTAAGGGTCTTTGCTAATGCGGCTTGGAAGGAACAAATGCATTCGATATTGTTTTTAGAGCAGTAAAGACTGCCGGCATACCCTACACTTTTGTTCATATTTATTGGGGCACACCAAACATGCTCTGTATCTTTAAGACTGTTTGGTATCTTGTAAGTTATTTGCACTTGAACAGATTGGTTATAACGAATTGATGAATTGGTTCATTTTCGTTGCAACAAAGCCAGTGGATTTTCTTGTCTTAAGACAAGTCAGTCGTCGCCAACTTTCAATGCAAAACATCTGAAACCCACTCCAATGGCCTTCAGAAATTCCAATATGCCCGCCCATGATCTGCTCACTAAGCACCGAATCGAAAACTTTCTCAGCGTATAAGATGGGATTACTGGCGTAGAAGACCGCTCTCGTCATGCTCTCAGCTGGCCAGCCTCAGTCTTGGCCAAAACGCTGTGCGGTTTAAGCCGAAAGTTTACTGTCCGTTCCGGAGGGCTGTGTCGGTTGCTGTGATACGATGTGCCTGGATATTTGGAGGCACAAGAAGAAGGTGTTGCCGCTGCTACTGCTGCTGGCCATCGGCAGTACCATCTACTATCTATATACCCTGAAGCTGGAGCGGGAGCTCGAGGAAAGTGCCACTTCGACCACTTCCCGCTTGGAGCGTGACATAAGAGATCTGCAGGCGGTCTTCGAGTCGGAGGTCATTCCGGATCTGGGCGCTTTGGGTCGACCGGCGCGGGCCAATTGGACGGAGGAGCAGCTGGGCGCCATCGCCAAAAGCCAGCGGGAAACGGGTTACAATGCTTGGCTCTCCAAGCGCATCTCACCTGAGCGAACGCTCTACGACATGCGACATCGCAGGTGAGTGGGAGAGCACTGGCTATAAGAGCTTGCCGAGAGGGCATCGGTAGCTTTATAAGAGTGGGATCCGATCCAGTACTGCCGGTGCTTTAAAGACACATTTCTGGTATAAACTCATCTCAAGTCGCCATCTTACTACCAAATGTATCTTCAATAATACTGCGAATGGATTCACTCCTTATAAGCCATTATAAGACTCAAGTAGACACATTTAGAACGTTTTTCCCTGAGTGTAAAATGCTTAATCGCCATCAACTCTCTGACTCTCTGAATTGTGTGATCTTTCCACAGCTGCAAAAAGCTTAAGTACCCGCTGGAAAAGCTCCCGTCGGTTAGTGTGGTGATAACGTATCACAATGAGGAGGCCAGCGTGCTGCTGCGAACGCTGAGCAGCCTGAGGAGCCGGACTCCGGTTGAGCTGCTTCGGGAGGTCATCCTGGTGGACGACGGGAGCAGCCAAGTGAACGGGAGCCTCAACGACTTCATTAAGATCAAGTTCTTGAACATGGTGCAGCACCGCAGGATCACAACCCAGGTGGGTCTGATGCGTGCCAGGGTCGTGGGCGCCGAACTGGCCCTGGCCGATGTCCTGGTCTTCCTTGACTCCCATGTGGAGGTCACCAAGGGCTGGCTGGAGCCACTCATTGCGCCCATTTTTGAGGACAACCGGACCTGCACTACGCCTATCATAGACACCATTGACTTTGATAACTTTGCCTACAGAAGGGGCAAGCCGTCGAGGGGCTTCTTCAACTGGGAGTTCAATTACATCCAGCTGCCACTTCTCAAGGAGGAGGCGGTAGCCATGCCGGCTCCACATAAGAATCCCATAATGAATGGTGGTCTCTTTGCCATTGGACGCGAGTGGTTCTCGGAGCTCGGTGGCTACGACAAGGGTTTGAAGATCTGGGGAGCCGAGCAGTTCGAGCTGAGCCTCAAGCTCTGGCTGTGCGGAGGACGGATCCTAGAAGTTCCCTGCTCCAGGGTAGGCCACCTCTTTAGAGACGGAAATTTCCAAGTTCGCTACACCAATAAGGACAAAAACAGCGAGAGGAAGCTAATTTCAAGGGTGAGTTATGTTCTGTTATGTAAAAGCCATATTTTCATTCAAACTAGTTCGAAAATAAACTAATCGTGTGTGTACGACTAACATCCCCTTTAGAACTACCGTCGAGTGGCTGAGATTTGGTTGGATGAATACAAGGACAAGCTATTTGCCAACATGCCACATTTAACAGTGATTCCGGTTGGAAATCTTGCCGAGCAACGGGAACTCAAGAGGCGCCTCCACTGCAAGCCTTTCAAGTGGTTTTTGGACAACCTCGCGGCGGATTTCCTGAACCTTTATCCCATATTGGATCCCGCAGAATACGCCTCTGGAGTACTACAAAGTATATCATCCCCGAAACTCTGCCTGGATCGCAAGGAACCTCGACTTGGTCGACCCCAATTGGCTCCTTGTAGTTCGGACCACGTGTTCCCAAGTCCCGAGCAGTACTGGAGCCTGACCAACCATAGGGAGTTGCGATCCGGATTCTACTGCTTGGAGGTGCGCAACCAAGGAGCAAATGTTAACATTTACCAATGCCATGGTCAGAGTGGAAACCAGTTCTGGTCCTTCGACTCCAAGACCCATCAGGTGATCTCCGGCCAACAGAAAAACTCCAGGCATTGCCTGGAGGCGCAGCCGGCATCAAATTCAGTCACTTCGAGTGTTTGTGATCCGAAAAACCATAGGCAAAAGTGGAAATTCGGCTATCAGAATAGCCGAAGACTCCAACATTTTTGGGATAATGTCAAGCAATAGGAGGAATTTCAGGCATTGTCAGGAGCTCTGCCTATAACTGCCGAATTTATTTTGTAAATATATAGAAGCACCTTTTTATTTAGGTTTTAAATTTGTTATTTAGGAAGGAGCAAGTAAGAGTATATTTAAGCAACAGCTGCATTTTTTAAGAATATTTGCTTAAGTGTAATGTACAGACCGCTTTAGTGTTATACTCCTTGAGTTATGATGAACTCTTACCAATTAATTATTTTCGAGTCCCATCCTTTCATTTTTAAAGTCCGGGTCAAACGGCACCCCAAACACACGAGTTCTATATGCAAAGTAGTATAAATCATATATGTCAAATATATGCTTCATATGAAAGCATATGGAACGCAAAGAGACCGGCAAGTTCATCTGAAATAAATCCGGAAAAATAATGAAATTAAGTATCAATAAATGAACTCAGTATAAAAAAACGCACATCAGTCACTGGATAGTACGAATGATCCAGAAAATACGTGTGGTGTTCCAAGGATTCATTAATTATCGATCCCAAATGCAAATCCGCCTCGAAAGGCAGGAACCGATGTCCCTGAAACTCATCCCGACTATCGCCGGCTATCACATTGACATTATTGAGACATCGACCCAGTTCCTCAGTGAAATAATCTCCTTTCACCTCCGAACTGCAAATACTTTCGTTGGTCAGGGCTGTGAGTGCGAATCGCTTAAGAGCAGCTCCACTGAAGACAATCCCAGAACTTGCTAGCATGAAGACCTAGAAATTAGATTAGGATATACAAACAAGGCGTTAAAAGTGAGGCATTGGCATTGTTTCCTTAATCAGAGAACAAGTTGCTGCAAAGTAATAAAGAATGGAAGTGAATTCAATAATTGATAGCTCACCAAACCGTTGCGTGTTCGCAGCTTGCATCCAAAGTAAATGAGTTCGTTGGGACTATAGGTCTTCAACATGTGACGAAGATTCTCCACGACTACAAAGCTGAAAACAGAATTTTTTGCACTCAGTGTATTACTTCTACATGCAAAATTCGCCTTTATTACTTATCGTCGTTGCAGTAGAGGAACCAGTCGCCCTGATGGAAGTGATACTTGTAGACGTACTCCAGATGGGCCCTCATTCGTTGCCATTTGTCACTCACATGCGTAAACGCAGCCGGCTCCAAGTAGTGATGAATGTCATCGCTGACGAAAAGAAAGTGATCGCAGTGCTTGACCCAAGTGCGATGGACGTGAATTGCGGTATGTTCGTGGCGAAATTCGTAGGTGGATATGATGCAAAAAATCCTAGGAGCTGGTGGACCAGAGCGCTCGACGACTGCCGGAGCTCCAAAGTCGCCACTGCGGTGCAATATAACCGTATACAATATAATGACCAGGATGAGCAAGTAAATTGCATTCTTTCCGGACGGGAAAAGGCGCCGTGTACTGAATAGTCGTGGCATATCTAAACGTTTACTGAAATCGGCGGTTCGGGTGGCAGAACTATTGGTGCTGGGGAGTCCGTCGACAATTTAATTATATTGAGTGCTTTTGTCTGTCCGCGCTGCCTTGGTTTCCCTTGCCCGCCGCATACAAATTGCCTTTTTCAATTAGAATTATTAGCCCACCTAGACGCTTTGCCATCGTCTTTCATTGATGATAATGGTTTTCCAGTTGATGCAAAACGCTGCAGTGGAGCGGAATGGCTCGGAAGATCCCGATGGGTTGGCCAGTTCATAAAGTGTTGCGTAAACTACACAAACTCAAAGTGGAGTATCGATTACCGGGCCCCACATCTGGCGCTCATGTTTCCTGTATTTGAACTAAGTTCGTGGAAACAAAACTAAAACTCTTTACTCGATTCGAACACGTTTCTGTATTTGCATAGATACTCGAATCTATTTTGGGACAGCCACATATATTTTGAAAACATTATTCAATCGCCTACCTCTTTTGTTGCAAAAACAAAAGACCCACAAATGTTTGTTTGGATTTCAATAATCACATGTGAGCAGCTTGTACAGGTTTCATGTGAAACTGTCAAACAAAATATAAGGAACCTGTGGGAGGTAAGCGATATTCTGCTTATGTGGCATATTAATGTCTCAGTTTACGTGCTCAAGTTTCCAGATGAGCTAAGTTTCCATCTAACAGGTAAACAATAGGCCTACACACGATTAAGGTTACAGGAAGCAGGCAAAAGTGCAATACTGCATTCATGTGAATATCTACTTTCCCTCAGACATGATGTAACAATGACACTTTGCAGTTGGGCAAAAAAACCGAAAATCGAAGAAAAACGGAAGTAATTTTGCACAGACAAAGGGCATTGGGAAAATGAGACTCCAGGCCAGACGACAGATTCATTGATGAACACGTTTATCCTCCCCTTTTTCCCACATGTGAGATGAGTTATGTGATGTACATGATATGTGGGTTACTTTGGATGGCATGGATACTAGGAGTAACCTGGGCCCTCTGCCTTCCAGTAATTGAAACATCAGGAAGGAAGTTCGTCGACAGCTGCCAGAGGTGAGCCTTTTATTACGGCCCAAAGTCAATGGAGGTTGGGACTGGGGTGCCAAAGATTTTCGCTCGATAAACAAAATAGTAGTAATCGTACATTTCTGGCGGATATTCTACGAGAAAGCAAATGGCGCGGGTGGATATGGGAACTGATTTCTGAAAAGATGGTTGAGGAAATGTTACATAGCACTTTCTCAAACCTAGTAATATTACCTCTGTGCTTTTGTGATAAGTTAAGTTACGCAGCCAGGGTATGGTATCATAGCCCACTAAGAACTGGTAGTCCACTGTAACGGGTAGGAATGTCTCGTGCTCAAATTCGTCCCGACTTTCTGCTACCGTTACGTTAGCAAAACTCATGCACCGATGTATATCCAGACCCTCAACATATCCCGCCCAATGAGTGCACTCCTTGTTCTCAGGATCCTTCGACGCCTCTGTATATCGTCTTAAGGCCTCGCGACTTATCACATACCCACTATGATGGTGGGCAAAGGGCTAACACATTGGCAGGAATAGTGCTAAGCATTAATATATAATTTTTTCACTCAAAAATCAAACTTACCTCATGTGTAACAATATTCTCGAGAAGGTAGCCAAAATAAATCGGTTGACTGGGTTGATATTTCCATTTGCTTATCATATACCGCAGATTCTCCACGACTACAAAGCTGAAATAGGAAAGCAATAGGCTTCAGTCGAAAATTTCCTTTGTGCCAACTGGAATTCTCATTCTTCATTCACGTCGCAGAATCGTGCATATCAATAAAATCCATCACTGATCTGCTATGCATACAAAGCCGCAATGCAAATACATTTATGTACGACTGTTGTGTAGCCGAATTGGCCGATGTGAGTCTTATGGATATTCAAAAAATTGAGTACGGGCAGAGCGACAAGCAAACAATTGCCATTTAGAAAAACCGTGTCAACAACATGGCCAGATCCGTTTTTGAATGAATCGTGGACACGCAAAGCAAACAAAGTCCAAGTTCAAGCCGCAAATGTGCGAGGCAAACAACGATGGCTAAAATCTACAAAAAAAATAACGAAAAAATACGTAGGAAACATAAACACTGTGTAGAATATTTGCCAAGCAACCGGACCAAGATATAAGTAATTGTAGACAATGTTGATGAGGTGAGGTGCTATACACTTGGATATGTGGATATATAATCGTAAAAACCCCGATCACAATGTTTCAATTTCGCATTGTATTGCCGTCTAATTGTATGCTTGTAATTAATTACGTTATCAAAGCAGAAGAAGACGTCATTGGAAATCGTACTTTGTGTCCAGCACAGAGCCGGCCAATAAAACTACCAACTTTAATGGCTCTTGACGGACATAAACTTTTAATTGCCAGTCAACGACCACACGAAGTAGACGCCAAGTCAAGTTATCAACTCATTTTCGAGACGATTAAGCAGCGTATAAATACGCCTAGTTCTAATCCTAATCCTAATTCAATTGATTTTGTAATATTCTACGGCTGGTGTTGACATCACATCCAATAAATTTCCAATTATGTATGACGGCATAAATTAGGAAAATACTATTTCAATCGACAGCTCTCCGGCACACTTAATTGACCTCTTGGCACGCATTTTTTCCCAATATTGAAAAACTCTTGATAGTGCACTGTAATCAATAGGGGCATATTGAAGCTTCTAGCATTTACATTACCATTAACTTGGCATTTGAGTGTAAACAGGGATTAATTGAATTGCCTTTAGAAAAGTGCGCAAAATATCAAAATAAATTGATAGCGCCAATTGCAAGTATATTTGAGCTAATCAATGCCAGTGAAACGGAATGGCACATTGAACCTAGTTCATAGAGTTCATTTTATTTTCATAAGTTCGATTGCCTGGAGAATACATTGGGATAGGGTTGCGATCACTCGCATTTGTGACTTATCATCATAATCTGGCAAACTATGCTAATGGCATTCCGCACCGTGAATGAAAATCCATGGGAAAATATTCTTTTCCAACTTCGAACTGAAATTTGTACCAATTATGCGGCCAAACCTCCCCGGAGAGCAATCAAGCGACATATACACAGTGGAAAATGGGGAACCGGGGAAGTCCGGGGAAGTGCATTGTGTCCCTACAAAAGACAGATAAACTACCGCCTATAGATACTCGCACTTCCTTGGCACAGTTTTCCCCAGCTCCTCCAGATAAAGGAAACGCTCCGTGGGCTAAACCACAAAGGAAGCCGAGGAAAAATCGATCTACAATGGACTGAATGGAACGGAACCCACTGCCAAACGGGATGTAAACGGGAACATCCAGCGAACAACAATCGAAACCCAAACTCAAACTCGAGCACAAACAAATGCTGCCGAAGGCTGACTGATAACTTTATCAATGAAAGAAGTCAAAATATGTTGAGTGAGGCGGCCACCGAACTCAACGCTCATAAAAATAAACAACAAGAATGAATAAGGAGCCACGGAAAAAAATTACAACATCGGTTGGATTGTACACGATGCAAAAATTCCTTGGCTGTCTGCAATTTCATTGGCATTTGTGCTTTAATCCTAAATATATTTAATACATGTGAAATTATGAATTACACTTTTACAGAAGCAAATCAAATTGTGGCTAAGTGCTTAGGCATTGAAAACTATATTTGATGGCAAACTTTATAATGGTATATGTGCTATGGCAAAATCTTTTTCGGTGTAGTGGCAGTTGAGCGCCCAGAATATCAAAGCAATATTCTAGCGATAAAAGAAAACGATAATGGAGCTCTTCAGCAATTTATGAACCATTCGAACCATTCAAATTGTATTATGATCTGGTAAATAATACCTAGTCTTACCTGGAGGGCTCGACTCTGAGGAGCCAGTCGATTTTGTCGGCATAAGAAAGGGAGGCGTGCATCAGACCCTGATGGACCAAAGTCCACGTATCAGTGGAGTTAACCACAGGCACATAGGGTTCCAACTCGCCATCGATGTCCCCACTCACAAATAGCAAGACATTGCAGTGCCTTCCCCAGGTGCGTTTCACGTACTTGGCAGTGCCGGGGCCGTTATAATTATAGGGTATCATGCAGAGAATCCTGATATCCTCGTACAGGGGATCCAAGGTGTGCTGGTTACTTCGTTTTGCAGGTGCTCTATCGGCTTCGCGCACATTAATATAGAGAGTGAAAGCCAAAAACAGAATTAAGCCCATGAAGAGGCCATAATAGACGCGTCTAGGAGAAGGCATGACTTCGAACTGACTAGTATTTAGTTTTGATCATTTGAGTGGGAAAAGCCAATTTCAGATAAGACAGTTATCAGTCTGCAGAAAGAATCTAACCCACTTCGTTTTCGGGGGTCGATGTGCACTCATGCTTGGTATTTAAGAACAGACGGAAGCTATTAAGCTATTTTGTTTACGGTCAGTTGATTTTTGGCAGAGTAGGAAGATAAGTTCTAGGCTAAGCAGTTCCTATAATTAAACATTGATATTTTGTGCAAAAAATGAACTTCATTAATTGGCCGTTTTAGTTTTTGGCGAAAAAATAATCTGAGGTCGTTTTCATTTTATTAAATGAAACGGAATTGGTGAATGGTTTCACGATTGCATCTACAATTTGAATAGTTAATTAGAGTTATTATTTGGCCCGCAAAGTGTTAACTCGATTCGCTGGGCCAATTAAACATAATTACACGATTCGTTGGCCACTGGGAGCTACATTTTTGATAAGATTAGCGAGCTTTGATTGCATTTTAGTAATCCAATCAGGGAAGGGGTCAATTGTGTGGTTAGCGGTGCAGATAACGAAGTAACCATGGTTACCAATCAAATAATCATACAATTTGGCAAGTAATTCGATGACTGCTACTCAGCACTACAAATGGTCGCAATTAAAGATTAATCGGAAAGGGGCTTTAAAATGTAAATGGCTCTGGGTTTTAGTGCATTTCCGTTGAAAGCAGATGAGTACCAAAATAAAAGAAGACCCAACAACCTGCTGCTTCGAGTCTCCTGCAAGCCAAACAAACATTAAGTTACAAAATGAAATCTTTGGCCCATAAAATTAAACCGCAGCCAAATACGCAGAACAGACAAAGACGAAAAAAAACAAATTGTTTGGGGGGTGGAGGTTGAGGGAAAACAGGCTAATCTCATGGCGCAAGCTTATCGGGAAAACAAACCTGCAGCAACCTACTTTATATGTATCTGTATCTTTGTCTGCATCGCCATCTGCATCTGTAACCGCTGTGGCTGGCTGCTGCGAGCTCGCAATCCTATTTGCACACGGAGAAAAATCTTTGTTTCCTCTCGAATGGTAAGAAATTACCTGGATAATACATCATTTTTGCTATTCAATATTAAAATATAAATAAAAAAATATTATTTTGTGGTATGCATGGAGATAGTTACATGATAGTTATATATTCTCTTGACAGTGAATAACAAATAATGCTTCCAACGAACATCTCAGCGAGTTTCTGCAATATTTTTTCACAGTGCCCTTCCAATCCCATTCCGAGTCCAAATCCAATCCGATCCGATCCCCCACTGCTGCACTTTGATGTTCCTCTGATGGGAGCGCCCAAGATAGGAACAGTTAGCGCATCGCAGTTAACTCGTTCGGCGGAGTTTTCCTGTTGGGTTTTTATGAGCTGGGCTCAGGTCTTGAGTATCTTGCAGGGGGCCCATAACTTTGAATCGGACAACTTTTATTTGCATTTTTATTTGTTTTTCTTCAGTCAGGCTTCTCGGAACGCTCCAACTTTTTATATATTTTCAGGAAGATAGAATTTAATTTTGCTTTTGTTTGGCAACGCAATCGAGGTGAATATTTCACTTGAATTAAGTATAAAAGTTGAACCGCCTGCACTTTTCTGCTGCCAATATACAAATTCGAAGTGCACAGATTGTTATACTTGTGTGGCTGAGTTTTTGGAGCGTAGAACGTTTGTCAGTTACTAATTCGCATTCCATGCTTGACCCAATCTCGCACTCAAAGCCGAGCCCAAATCAATTTATTGTTATTTTTATGGAATTTCAATCAGAAAATTCCTAATTTTCTTGAATGGAAAATTGATTTTCAGCTGTGTGCAAAGATACAGCATTCAAATGAATATCTTTTTGTGGTCTGCCGCCAGCCAGGCAAGCAGAACTCTAGTGTATATTATTTATCTAAAAAAGCTGTTAATTTTTCGCTATTTAACCCGCGTGGCAAAGCTTTTACTACACTTCACCATATCTACAGACATATATGGAAAACATTTTGCGCAAATATTTTGCCAACCGCCGCAATTTTGCTTGTCACTTACAAAGGCAAACACATCAAATTCATAATCTTCGCCTTGGCAGAGAAGTTGTTGCTAATATTTGTTACTATTGTTTGCGTGCATTTTTATTATTTTTTTTGTTGTTTTCAGACCTTTGAGTTGGGTTAATATGCAAGCAAATAAGGCAGCTTCAGTTCAAAATGTTTGCCCAAAGTCTAAAAGAAAAGATAAATAAATCGCGGCTGAACTTAACGCACGGCATTATAAAAATGCTTCACATCTGCGACTGGTGTTAAACAAATTTGAGGCACTGTGTGTCTCTGAATAAGAATTTCGGCAAAGCATAAATAAACATTTAATGGAGATCTGAAAAAGTTGACTATAATCGCGGGTAATCACCCTTGAAAAGTTAAACACTTTAAAATCAATTTTAGGTTTTAGGTCAACGGGCTTACATGAATATTTAAATATTGGCTCAATACAATTTACACAGCTTTTGTAGTTTTTTGTAATATTTGCGCTTCTCGAGGCTGAAATCGATTTAAATGCCGTGGCATGTTTGTGTAATACGTATTTTATTTGAACAAGCAGCGCTGACCCCATAAAAATATTTATAGAAATGGATAGATGTCCACAATTGGCGACCGTTTTCCAAGAGACAGCGGGCTTGCCAATTTTAATTTTGGCCTTTGTTTTGGTTTTCCGTTTTAGCCGCCTGCACAATAAAGTGGGTCAAATATTGCGTATGACGCTGCTTTTTACCCAGCGGCTGTTGGCCAACCGGTTTCGCTTTCAAACATCGGCGGCGATTCGTCTGAGTTGGGAGTTGGTCGATTGGAGGCATGATGTTATGGTATGGGAATGGGTATGGGTATCTTACAGCTTCCACTTCCAGCTTAGCATTTGGTTCGGCTTGGCCCACGATTTTGGCGCCTAATTGAAAATTCAGTTGGCCAAGTCAACGTGTGTTGTGCGGGGTCGCAAACGTGGACTAATGTGCATTTTATTAATAAATTGTCCGCTTCATTAGGTTGCAGCCTCTGCCCCAGCAACCTGCAACTTTCACCCAGCGGAAGATGCATCCGACGGATGGGCTTTTAATAAATTGCCCTTCGGATGCGCTTTCTCGCTGCCTCTCCGATTCGGATTCGGATTCGGATTCCCATTCGAATTTGCATCTCGAGCTAATTATGTTGTTTATGTTGTATAATATTTTGATGTGCCTTGTGCGATCTACACATGTTTTCGAGGCAGCAGCCGTTAAAAGCGGCAATGCAAATGCAAATCGGAAAATAAAACTCAAATAAAAATAAAATTGGACATGCTGTCTGGAGCCAAGGTGAAAGCATAGGCAAATTGCCACATTTTGCAGGCTAGCAACTGGCGAACTTAGCTTCATAACCGATTGGGCTTCAACCCATTAGCCAGGCAATTAGCGGGGCTAACATAAAACCGATACTAAAACTCATTAGCAACAATTTCAAGTATGCACTGGAACTGTTTGCTTTATGCCCGGCAATGGCAGAAATTATATGGCCTGCTGTAATGAGCAGCTGAACTGCGAACAATCCAGAATTGAATAATCCAGAATTGTTCTAACCAGCAAAGCCAATACTTTTGGCTTTCTTTGTAGCCAGAAAGCTTTGCATATTGGCGGTAGAACGTGAGGCGATTGTTTAAACAACTGACCACGCGCTATTGGAATTTTTTGGCATTGTTTTGAACGGCGCCCAAATTCAACTAATGAAACAATTTGCACACATTGTGGCGTTCTGACAAATTGGTGGGCGTGTTTCGTTGGGTTCCGCTTATTTCTACAGTCCAAGCGGCAGACAATAAAATCCATAGATCACTCAAGCCCAAGCCCTTCTGAAAACGGTCGCCTAAGCCGGCTAAGATATTCATAGGTTCTAAACGTGAGGCTAAGTTAGTTAGGCGTCTCGCATCGGCGAATATGTCATAAGCTGTCAAATAAATAAGGAGCGATCGTAAATCTCGACTGCATTTGCAATTAATAATTATTGCTTAGCATAAGCGGCTTTCAGGCGAAGTCTGTTTCTGTTTCCCACCGCTATGCAAATGCCACCGCAAGAGGTTCTTCCCCAGAACTTGCCCCATTTCATTGATCACCGCTCACCGATCGGCGATCACTGATCACGGATTGCGAGTCACGGCTCGTGAGAAAAATAACTTTTATTGCACTCGCATAAATGCAATTTATTCGCACCCTCACATGTGGCTTTCTAGTTGGCTGTCGGTGATTTGTTTACCCATTAAAATGGGCATAATAATAATGAAGCACGGAAATGGACGGCAACTGCAAGTGCCACTGCAGCCGGCATCTATAAATACAACAATAACGATAATAATAATAATGATAAATAAAAATCACATGGCGGCAAAGAGCGACAAATCCATTGCACAGTGAGATAAATTTCCATATAATTCATTACATTTGTTAATGTCGATAGCGGCTTGTTCAGATTGCAGATAGCGTGGTGATACTAACTTAGTTGCGGTAGTTGTCGGAATGCGGGACCGTCTAACGTAGAATGAAAATAAGATACAAATCACTTTGAAAAACCTCTTACTCCTAAAGATAGAGCAATAGAACCCAAGACCTACCGCAATTCGTATTGCCTTCGGAAGCGGCCACGTTTTCCTGCACGGGGTTAACTGGGAGTCACGTCCACCGACTGAGCAGCGATGCTAGGAAAACATTGTTCGAGATCATTTATTATGTCTATTGTCTCCAGCAGCGATTTGCATACCTATACATGGACCTACTAGCTTATCAATGCGAAATTACAATTGCACAAATGCAGTGAGCTATCACGTCCTTAGCTCAATGTCAAATCGAGCTGTCTCTATCTGTCTATCTATCTATCTATCTATCTATCTATCTATCTTTGTACGACAACTATCTCAATCTGCCGGATTGCTGATGTTGTGCTCCGGCATCCGAAGCTGCAAGCTATTTTTAA